TAGTGAGAGCAACCTTGATTTCCAGTGCACCGATTAACATTGCAGAAGGCATTAAAACGTAGTTTTCCACAACTACTATATGCTAATCGTCTAACTTATTTTGCATTTAAGAAAATCATATACACCGGCCATGAAGAATGTTATCTTCCATAGTTAGATGTTATTGATGTTAACTGCACCATTTGTTATAACAGTAATGCTGTTGACGCAGTCCTGAACCCTTTTTTAACTATTTAGAACTTCCTTTCGCTGTGTAACTGGACGTTATAAATGTCCCATGAAGACCTAGAAACTGGATTTTTTGAGCTCGTAGAAGTTAACATGTGCCTCACTACACTTGGCTTCTGCCTTCATTTACGAATCCGAAACGAAACCATCATTTTATCTAATGTAGATAGCCCATATGTGACCCGACTGCCCGAAAATAAACGACCCCTTTTACAATTGCATACCCAAACCGTATAGACTTTAATTTTACGGACGAGTCGCAGTCGTACTGGACATTAGAAGAAATACTGTCTGACCGTTCACTGTGGCAGACATCGAATCGTCCTAGGTAATCCGCAACACAGGAAGGGTTACGTTCTGTGTAATAATGACATGCAAAGGAAGTGGAATGCAGAAGACTGCGTAAACGAAATTCGCGTGTTTAAACCAAACAACTTTTATTGAGGAGCACTGTAAAATGAACCAGTAAGCTACCTTGAGGACGCATGATTGTGAGCGGAAGCGAACTATGCAGCCGCACGTTGTCAGTTCACTCTAGCATTACTACTGAGGTTATCTTCAGTAGGCGTGATGTTTTCGTGAATACTCACTTTTCGGTAAGGAATCCCGACGATGCGGCTTCCTTCCAGAGCCAGTTTCCTACACTGATCTACGAACCTACCCAGAAGGGTAGGGTAAAATAGTTACATATACTGGAGGGCGACAAGCGAAAGTTTCACATGTTTAAGCCGGCCACGTGCTTTTGACCGTGCAACGTCTAGTGAGCAACTTTGCTCACTGGCGATATCATAGTTTTGAAACTGTACGCGTTTTGGTCACTGTTTGCTAATGCTACTGATCATATGCCCTAGCTCCCAACCATAGTGACAGTGAATTCACAAAATGAAACCGTCAACTGTACGTTCATGCACTGATTCTGTTGCATGCTTCCCAGTCGACTTTAGCCCATGCTTCTTGCCCTTCGGGTATCCAATCTCTTGTACGTGGCATTTTATGAATGCAATGGTCAAAATCACCAGAAAGCTTAGTGCTGTGTTTGCGTAAAGCCTCAGCGAGGGACGGAAGTTTCGCATAGAATTCGTGCGTAAAGGATGCGACGAAGGCATCGTGAGACCATGATGGGCGAGTCATAAACTTCATCGTCCAGTTGCGACAGAATGGCCGCGCATATTGACCGATCGTCAAAACTACCTGTGTATTCCTGCACGCGAGAAAACCAAATGGTTTGAATAGAATGTACATGTAAAATTGGCAAGTGGAGACACCGGCGGCAGAGGCAACCTCAGCTTCTACAATCCCTTAACAAGGTTGCTAAGCATACTGTCGGTCATGTTGGGACGCGTCACCGCTGCCATCAAGTGACGGACGAGCGCCAGCAGTAGGTAGGCTGACTCAAGAAATGTCAACCAAAATTCCAAAATGCGTTATAGTCTTTAGTATACCCCAAGATTAATATACACAAAAAACGAAGGTCGACACTAGGTGGGAAAAGAAAAGGAATATTGGTGGTTGGAGTCCAATCACGTGAATCTGCGAGGGAGGGTTCAGAAACGAAAGGGGCCCTCATTTGGCTGAAGGGAGGTGTACAATGACCCGGAAATCCCCGAGACGTGTTTATGGGTTTTCGATCCGTCGAAAAGCAGATACAGTTTAATTCAGCGTGATGCTTACTTCGAAATGAATTTTGCCTAGATGTTAAGTTAAGTTGAGCTAGAAATAATTCCACCAATGGAGGTTTATGTTATATCAGTAAATTCAGTATTTTTTATAGGAAAATCGAATTGTGCCCTACAAGTCACTATAGCTTAACGCACAAAATTCCTTGTCTTCGACGGACCGTTATAAAGAGCAATCATGGCCTCAAGACAGTTTGGAAGTTGGTTTGACGATGCCCGCCATGCGTTGTAGAGCATGGTGAGAGCAGGCACAGGGAAGACTTTCACAGCACCTACCTTACCCTCTCATCCCTGCCGATCCACCAGTCGGCCACTTCGTACAAACATGCACGCTGAACCGACCGTGTGGTTCGGGTTATCTAGTTAATTAGCAGCCTATGAAGCCGCACCATTTATCGCATCGTTACCTTCAATCGCATCAAATTGTTTTTAGTGCTAAGAGTGCGCTAAGTCGTCGACCTCACTTTCTTTTCCCACTGCTAGGCCTCAGCCACTGTCCGAGTCGGTCATTCGTCCGGTGCCGGGAGTGGATGCGGTGTTTGATATACTTATTGTCCTCGTCTGCGCGTGCCGCTTGCACGCCCTGACTCCTGGACACAAGCCCCAGTATTTCCCGAAAAAGGGCGAAGGCGGCCTGCACTACGCATGCGTTAAAACGTCCGATCTCACGTTAAAATGGAAATACTGCAGTCTGACTTTCAGCCCACTAGTCCGTCACATCACACAAACACACACAACTGAGCTGACTGCGAGGACTGGATTGAGGCGTCAGTAGACAACCTCTCATGCCACGGCACTTGACGCAACGTGATAGTCTCAGGCTCGGATCACACATGCAGCAGAGGAGCCGCATGGAAAAGGAGCCGGGAAGCACACTGCTCACTCACTTGGGAGATGTAAATTACGTGCTTGCGTTGGGCGATGTTGAGGTGCGCTACAGGTGGTGGTGAACAAATATGTGATGGAGTGGTATGGTAAGTGCTGTTCAACCATACGTTTTCATGAATACACATGTGACCGGACAGGACCTTGAGGTGACTGAATATGCGAGAATAATGCTGGCAGTTGAGGCAAGTGCGTCTTGTGTATGTTGCTGCTCTAGGCCCTGGTTTACCAATCCCCGTACGACAGATTCGCAAGTGACCGACCAGGTTAATGCGCGAATGTGCGGTGACAGAGTGAGCGGGACAGGTTGGGGGCTGTAAAGTCGGTTTCAATGGTGGTGACGGTGTTGGTGCTAATGTTAACCGCACTGGGCGATTAGAATTTGATTGAACTGGGCAGAATGGAAGTGCTAGATTTGCTAGGTGTATCGATACTCTGGTGAATTCCACTGTCACGGATACGATTATGTCCAAATAGGCCCATGCGGTGCATGAATGCACTTGCAGGGTGAAGGTGGATGCGGCGATTGTATATTGCTGCTCCAGACACTAACACGCCAGTCTCTGTGCGACGGAATTTTCAACTGATCGACCAGGTCAATGTGTGAAGTGAATGTGTGTTCGAAAGGAGAACAGACTGGGATTGATTCCACATCGTTGTAGGTGGAGGTTGTGACCAGTCTTCAGCAACACAACTTGGAAAACCTTTTTTAAAAACATTTCTCCAACAATGATCAGTCTCAGCGTGGACAGACCAGTCCCCCTCATGGTGCTCCCAATGACCAGAGAAGTCGAAAGGCATTCCAGGATGACACCTGAATACTCACCTGTTGAAACACAACCCGAACTGCCCAAGCCCGATCTAGCGGATTATCGGAATGACTATAAATTTACTACTAACATGGTTTCAGTAGATTCTTTTTGTGCGTCGACCTTAACCCATATGGAAATTCTCACAGCACGAATGCGGCGAACAAAGTTATTCGCAATTATTTCGCGCGTACCATACCCTTTTCGCATTTATGCTCCATTATTAGATTTACGAATTCTCCTTACTTAAACTGTAAGCAAAATTTTTGCAATTTAAATATTTTCCTTTACATCTGTACCGTCTAAATGGAGTTTTCAGGGCTTCTGTCGTTCACTCCAAGCATACAGTCTGATTTCAAATTGACCATCTCTTCCACGCCATGCACACTTCCTTGGAGACAGAGTGACCCTCCTGGAGTTATCATCTTCACTGCAGCACATGTGCATGGAATGTTTTGACTCGAAACCAGCCTCAAGTATTGGATGATCAGCTGCCCACGTAGCATGTGACACTTTCGTCAGCTTTGAAAGGAGAAGGGAAGGAAAAGACTACCTGAAGGGCGTCTGTCAAATGAGGGAGGAGGCGAGAGAGTTGCAGATTTTTGTAGAATAACGGAGTCAAAAACGTAGCCCGAAGACTTACAATTCGAAGAGCCTGAAATATATTGCGGATAGCGAGGTTGAAATAGAGATTACAAGAACGCAACTGTATGGCTATGGGTTAGAAGGGGCATCATAAACAAATAGAAGTAGGAGAAATATGTCCTTTTAGATCCGGTCCAAACGGAAACCGCGCCTTCGATTTCTCGGCGAACGAATTGCGCGTGCTTTGGGATGACGATGTCAGAAGCCCGATCTGCAGAATTACAATTCGAAGTGCCTGAAATACACTAGAGCCAGTCGAATAAAGACCGATAACACAGAAAAAGCATGTGCGAAAAACGGTGCAGTAAAATACACCTTGGGAAACACTAAAGAGACTCGCCAAAAATAGGGCGAACTTAAAAGGGCGAGTGTTGTTTTCTTAAGGTCTTTTGCCATTCATGGCTTTCCTAAACAGTCGAAGGAGGGTGTCTTATTGCTCCATTCTATGCAATGATTCGCCTTGATTAACGACAGATTGACAGAAACAAAGGGCACTATTTCGCTTTTGCCATTCAAACTCGACTTTGACACAGATAGCTTTGGTAATTTTGAATGAGAATTACCTTTATCACTGTCGCCAATATGGGCTCAGTGTAAACTACCTTGCTGTTTGTATGAACTCTTTCAATCTCTCGTAAGACCTTTGTTTTACGACATTTTCAGAAAGAATCATTAGCGTGCTTCAACGTTATCGCTTCCTCCAAAATGAAAAACAACGCACTTATCAAAATCTACTCAGAACAGCGATTTGAATCCATTAAAGCCACGATTTACACGAGTCAAGTGGACGTGGATGAAGAAGAATACCTGCAGCTGTATGAATATCTGACGTTCCTGTTTCCGCCCCAGAGGAGTCGCACAAGGAAAAGGACATGGAAGACGTCGGAGTGGACGTCGTCTGGAGGTGTGTGATCACCGTATTTGAAGTGGCATCAGTATCGGTCTCTTAATGTAAAACATTGTCACTGATGTATAATTTCTTCCCTTAGCTGTTTTGAAATGCCATTTCTCCTAATCTCTCCAACCACGGATTCTTTATATGCGCAGCTAGCTAATTGGATTGCAGCTGAATGACTGAAGTACAAGTCCCGTTTGCCTGTACGATTGCACGTTAGTCGTTTGCTGTTGAGTGAACCGAACTCCTCCGGTCAACTCTTATCCGTGTAGTAGAGGTTAAAGGCTTCTGAATGTAAGTGAAACAAGAGTTAAGGGTAAAAATTATACTTTCTTTCGAGCCCAGACTTTTACCTGGCCACCTTCTGGGGCGATTTGTCTATTTGGGGACCAACTGAAGAAATTGCCTGGCCTCTTCAATCTGTGCCCATTTCAGGTTACTTAGCAACTACAGTAATGAGAATCAAACGGATACAATTCTTACCAAAGAGACCGTTGTTTTCCCACATGGCCGCCAGCTTCCCGAAATCGACTCTGGACTTTACAAAGTCTACACTCTCCAGCAGGGCCGCAAAGGGCGAGCCAGCTTCAGCGACCTCCAACACAACCTCGTGTTCCTCTCCTGAAACGGCAGTTGTGGCAAGCATAAGCATGCACTACTTTAAAATCCAGGTCAGGCACTAAGTTACATGACAAAACACTCAAAACTTGTCACTTGAGATTGGTCTTGTCAAACGCAATGTCCTTGTCTTTACTATTCAGTAAGTAACACATTCTTCACTATAAATAATTCCGTCGCAATTCAAGCTATCACGATGCGCTAAGAGTCGTCGCATGGGAGACTGGTGGGATAACACATTCCTCAGGGCTTCAATGGCTCCAGCATTACGTGGCCCCTATAGCATGCTCGTCTATGTGAGGTCGGGGACCCTCTGACACAGAGCGGTTAGCAGGCCGTGCGTGTTACGCTTAAAAGGTCTGAAGGCGTGTGCTATGCCAGGACCAGCAAACCATGGCCCTCGCAGCCTGGTACGCGCTGGCAGTTCTCTGACACTTGGTTACCTGCCGCTAGATGCGCGATCGCTCCCGCTGTGTATACAGGGGGTGGGCGTAACTGCCAAGTCATCCTCGTCCTTCTAACCCCTATTGGGGTTTTGTTCTTGTTGTCGGTCAAAAGCCTGGTCATTTACTGTGTAGACCATGGGCTGTGGGGTGGAACGCCAAGGGGCGAGCTCAACCGCGCCGCTCGCCTGCGCCCTCCCCCGCATCCAGTCTTCTTGAATCTGTCTTGACACGGGGTCCAGTTGATGAGTGGGGAAGAGAGAGTGCGGTCGATGCTGCACAAGTCTACTGTCACGCGCAAGCCACCGTGCCTTTCGCACTTTGATATGCAGCACACGTTTAACATTGTCAAAATTGACAGCCGAACTGTCGATTGGTCATTATCCCATATAGTATGCTAGAGCACTGTCCAAATTTGCCTGAGTAAA